CGTCCCTTGACTCTGTAAGGCTGGAATGGAGAGGGTTCCTCCTTGTGACTACCCTTGGAGCACTGCAGGTTGCTCTATGGTTTTCCTTTTGATAAGTCATCTCTTTATTAAGCTGTCCTCCATTTACCCAATTTGAGTGTGCCACTGATTTCCTACTAGGCCCCTTGCTGGTAAAACAACCGTATGAGGTAGTAATATAAAATTATTGTTACTCTGGTATGAATGAGGAACCTGAGGCAACGAGAGGTTAAGTAACTTGCAGAAGTCACACTATTAGTTAGGAGTGATCTGGGATTTGGGCCCTGGCAGTCTGGCTCCAGGATAGTTGAAACAAAAGAAAAAGCCACAAAACTTGACTATAGGGCAACATGGGGATTGAGGGCAGGTGAAGCTGACCAGAATTGGGGCTAAGTTGATGCTTTTGAGTTATGGTGTTGGTGAAGAATACTCAAAGTACCATGGACTGTCAGAACTAACAAATCTGTCCTGGAAGAAGTGCAGCCAGAATGCTCTTTGGAAAAGAAAATGGCCAGACTTTGTCTCACCTACTCTGGTCATGTTGTCAGAAGGGACCATTCCCTAAAGAAGGATATCATGCTTGGTAAAGTGGAGGGTCACCAAAAAAGAGCAAGAGCCTCAGTGAGATGGATTGACACAGTAGCTGCCACAAAAGTCTCAGATATAGCAAGGATTGTGAGGTTGGCACAGGACCAGGCAGTGTTTCATTCTATTTTATGTAGGGTTACTATGAGTCAGAGAAGATTCGATGGCACCTAACAACAACAAGAAGTGACTAGGAGGCTAGAGAGGCCTCAGGAGGGGCCACTGTGTGCCTGGGCAGAGAAGCAAGGACAACTAAAACAAGCCAAGTTTTAGTTAAATTGAGATAGAACAGCATATTCTGAGGGGAGACACTGCTGGTGGCTGCCTCCTGTCTCACCTTAGCTAACCCATCTGGTTGGCTGAAGCTGCCCAGTCAGGGGCTGAGATAGCCTCTTCAGGGTTGAGCTCCATGGGGCAGAGGTGAGGCTGATGTAGGAATGAAGGTGTCCCAACCTGTCCTGGGCCATAGCCCTGCGGCCCTGCTGAGCATCGCAGCCCAGGTGTGGCTGGTGTGACCAAAAGGATTTAATTCCACTGGGAAAAGACTCCTGGGGCTTGTCTCCCTTTGAGATGCTACCTGAAGCACAGGCATAAAAGTAGAGGTCAGGAAGGATGAGAAAGGAGGGCAGCCAGAGAGGGTGAAAGAGAAGGCAAGGGCTCAGGAGCCTCGGAACTGGGAAGCAAAAGTGAGGAGAGGAACCGCACACCCAAGGAGATGTTCTCCCTGCTCAGCGGGCTGCTTATACTGGCTAGCTTCTTCCTGCTCCTGAAACTCTGTACCTTCTACTGGGAAAGGAGCTACCTGCCTCCGGGCCCTTTCCCCCTCCCCATCCTTGGAAACCTGGGGCACCTAAACTTTCAGCTGCACCCAGAGACACTGCTCCAGGTAGGGGATCTGACCTCGACTTGCCTTAAATGAGTGGGCAGGTTACCCCTCTCAGACTCCACTTCTCAGGGACACTGGGAATAGCATGGGGCAGCACAAAACCAAGCCCAACCCATGCCGTCCATTCTAACTCATGGAGGCCCCTTGTGCTACAGAGTAGCACTGCTCCATAGGGTTTTCTTCACCGCAATATTTATTAAAGGAGCCCTGGTAGCACCGAGGGTCAAGTCTAGGCTGCTAACCGAAAGGTCAGCAGTTAGAACCAGGCTTCGAACCGGTTCATTCTGGTTTGACACCCTGCTGAGAATTTGGATTTCCACCCCAGATGCACTGACTGGATCAGAATCTACATTTTAACAAGCTCCCCAGGTGATTCTTATGTATGTCACTGCATCTGGGCCTATGACCCAGCTGGCCGGTGTGTGTGTAGAGGTGTCAGCTATGGGAACTAGGGGTTTGTCTTATCTGAAGAGTGGGGGGGGGGGTCTCTGAGAACTGAGGCCCCTAGGGGTGGGGGAATTCAGGCCAAGAGGAAGATCCAAGAGGTTGGGCCAGCTGAGCTTCCTGAGCCCCGAGTCCCCGGCTCTCTCTGCAGCTGGCACAGAAGCATGGCAATGTGTTTACCGTGTGGGTGGGCCTGACGCCCGTCGTGGTGCTGAGCGGTTTCCAGGCAGTAAAGACAGCACTGGTCTCCAACTCGGAGCAGTTCTCTGGCCGGCCCCTCACCCCCCTCTTCCGGGACCTGTTTGGAGAAAGAGGCAAGGCTTCTATTCTTATTGGAGAGGAGGGTGGCTGAAGGTGACTGACTCTAGGTTGGCCCCAAACTGTTAACAGAGAAGACTGAAGGGTGGTGTGAAAGGAGCCAGCTCTGGGAATCCAAAAGACCTGGGTTCAAGCTTCAGCTTAGCCCCTTGTCAGTTCTGTGCCCTTGAACAAGGCAGCTTCACTGAGCTCCAGGGTGCTCCTCTGTTAGCCAGGAAGTGACCACTCTCACCCTCTGCAGAGGTGGGGGAGGGGAGTGAGCTACAGTACCTCTTAGTGTCCAGTACAGGGCCTGCCTCAACAAAATGCCCCTACCTGTCCCCTCAGGCTCCTTCCTCCCACCTCTTCTTTATCTCCTCCTCCAATTCTTGTGGCAAAATCAAGCTGGCAGACTGGTAGATCAAAGGAAGGCATGTCTGAGCCCAGGTTGAAGGCACCAGGCTCATTACCCTCTCCCACAAATATCCCTCACTTGGCCAGTCAGCACCAGCCCAGAGCTGGTTGGGAAGGTTGTCCTGGAGTCTGCCTTCCAGGTCCAAGTGAGAGCCAGGTGGCTTTGGACTGGGAGGCTGGGAGGGGTTGCTCACTGTCTCACCTGGGTCCAGGGGTCATCTGCAGCAATGGGCACATGTGGCGGCAGCAGAGACGTTTCTGCCTGGCAACACTTCGCGGGCTGGGCCTGGGCAAGCTGGCGTTGGAGCTGCAGCTGCAGAAAGAGGCAGCAGAACTGGCCGAGGACTTCCGCCGGGAACAGTGTGAGGAGCATACTTGCTGTGCACATTTGTGTGTGTGTGTGTTTGTGTGTGTGTGTGAGAGAGAGAGAGAGAGAGAGAGAGAGAGAAAGAATTGAAAAGGGTTTTGAGATCCATCAGTAGAGGAGGAGTTTCTGCAGGGCAGGGAGACACAGATTCTAGAATGCCCATTCCACTGGGAAGCTGGAGCTCTCTTGTCTGCAACTGAGGAAGCATCCTGCCTCAACATCCCAGGCCTTTCACCCTTCCAACTCTTTGCACATGCTGCTCCCCTTTCTGGAATACCCTAACACACCCCTTCTCTCCCTGCTCCTTCCTGCAGACCCAGCTGAGGTCACCCACCCTAAGAAGCCCTCCATGAACCTCAGGGAGAGCTAGCACTACTGCTCTGCGTCTAGCTCTGATGTCTAATGTCACTTAAATGTCAGTCTCTCTCCCACACCTATCTCTACAAACCCAGCACCTGCCATAGAGGTGCTTAACTCCCCCTCCCCAACAACAACAAAAAACCCAACTCACTGCCATCAAGTCGATTCCAACTCACAGCGACCCCCTTTGGGTTTCCAAGGCAGTATCTCTATGGAAGTAGATTGCCCAGTCTTCCTTCAGAGGAGTAGCTGGTGGGTTTGAACCGCCAACCTTCTGATTAGCAGTCAAATGCTTTAGGTACTATGCCACCAGAACTCCTGGTAGAAGGTGCTCAGTAAGCATTTATTGAATGAATGAATGAGGAATGAGAGAGTAAATCATAAAAATATGCAAGATTGTACGTGTGCTCAAAGCAGTAGCCTTTGTCCTCCTCACTTTGAGCTCTGACCCTCTGCCCTCAGGTAGACCCTTTGATCCTCGGGCACCCATTGTCAGATGCACAGCCAGAGTCATTGGGGCCCTTGTGTTTGGCAGCCACTACTCCAAGGATCCCTTCTTTCAGGAACTGACCCAAGCCATTGACTTTGGCCTGGCCTTTGTCAGTACTATTTGGCGCCGGGTAAGTTGGCACTGAGGGAGCCCTAGCGCTGCTGTGGTTAAATGCTCAGTTACTTGCTAACCAAAAGGTCAGTGGTTCAAACCCACCAGCCACTCCTTGGGAGAAAGATGCAGCAGTCTGCTTCCATAAAGATTACAGCCTTGGAAACCTTGTGGGGGCAGTTCTACTCTGTTCTACAGGGTCACTACGAATTACAATCAACTTGACAGCAACAGGGTTGGTTCTGGGGTTTGGTAAGTTGGAACAGTTGTGATTCAGTGGTAGAACTCTCACATTCCATGATGGAGACTAGGTTCAATTTCTGGCCAACATACCTCATGGACAGCTACCACCTGTCCATCAGGTGAGGCTGAACAGGTTTCAGAAGAGCTTCCAGACTAAGATGGACTGGGAAGAAAGGCCTGGTGGTCTACTTCAGAAACTCAGCCAATGACAACCCTATGGATTACACCAGTCCAACCCACACTGCTCACAGGAACAGTACAGGACCAGGCAGCATTTTCTGTTGTTGGGCATGAGATCACCATGAGTCAGGGGCCAGCTCAACTGCACCTGACAAGTAGGCACTGTGGGGAAGCGGGTGTGCTGTCCATTGGACAACCAGGGCCCAGAGCAGACAGGGGGAGAGGTGGGGAGGAGGAAAGCCATGGGACCTGAGTCTCAGCTCCTTAGGCAGCCTCTGCCTAGCAATCTGACCAATTTAAAGCATCACACTTCCTTTGTTGTGGTTCAACATAATCATATGGGCAGAGAGTAGAAGGAGGGTTACAGCCTCATATACACAGTTCTCAGGGCTGCAACATCCTAGCTGGATCCTGGGCATTATTCTCTGCTACTGTCCTCTCATTTATATCTAGATTATGGGTCTCTAGATGAGAGGCAGCCCTGGGGTGCCCATATCTATGGCCCAGACCACTTTAGAGACCCTCTATGCAGCTCTTGGTACATGAGTCAGGGGTGGATGCCTGAGCAAGCTCTGGGCGGGCCTCTCTCCCTACAGCTGTACGACATGTTCCCCTGGGTCCTCTGCCACCTCCCAGGACCCCACCAGGAGATATTTAGGTACCAGGAGGCTGTGCGGGACTTCATTTACCAGGAGATCAGCAGGCACAAGCTCAGGGCACCTGAGGCCCCCAAGGACTTCATCAGCTGCTACCTGGACCAGATCACCAAGGTGGGCCTAGAATGGCTGCAGAGGGAGGGAGGGGGCTGCTTTCCCAGGCTGTACCTCCCCTCTAGTTTCTAGGCCATGGCCTCAGTGCCTCATCTTTGACTTACTCTGCAAGCTGTCAGAGCACTGTGAAGTTGCAGCTATTTTGGGTTTTCCTCTGTATCTTTGCCAAGGCCAGGGCCGGCTTCTAAAGACAGGGAAGCAGAGGGCCTGGCTGATGTCAGGTCCAGAACCCCAAGAGCAACTCCCCTCAAAAAGGAACACAGCCCTGGGAATCAGGCCCTCATGAGGGGTCTTCCCCCAGGGGAGTTCTGCCATAAGTCTGGGATCAAACTGGGACTCAGGGACACCAGGGCTCTGTTAAGAGGGAGCTTTAGACCCCAGGCTGTTCCTTCCCCCACTACCCTGCCCCCAACCAGGCCAAGGATGACCCCATCTCCACATTCAACGAGGAGAATCTGATCCAGGTGGTGATTGACCTGTTTCTGGGAGGCACCGACACCACAGCCACCACCCTGCACTGGGCACTCCTCTACATGGTCCAGCACTCAGACATCCAGGGTGAGGAGCCTTGTCACCCTGGCTGAATGTCCACACTCATCACTCCTGCTTTGGGAATTCTGGGGTGTGGCACCTGCCCACACTGCTCTCTTTGGTCTGAGTCCCCAGAGGAGAGTCCTGCTCTCACAGCTATAGTACAAGAAGTGCCATGGCTTTGTAGACAGTCAGTTCCTACCTGCTACTTATTGTGCTCTTTGGGGCCAATCATTCAACCTCTAGGAACCAATGTAAAATAGGGGAGACATTGTTTCACTCAATCAGTAATGATTCACACCTACCAAGTATAGGCCATGTGTTAATGTCCACCTTAAAATCACAATTGTGTGTTGGGGGGGGAGCAGTTAATGTGGCCGATGACTATGGTCTAAATTCAAATCCTGGCTCCACCAGTTTTGTGACCTTTGGCAAAATTACTTGCCCTGTTTGAGCCTCAGTATCCCCATGTGTTAAATGGAGACAATAGTGCCTACCCCAAAAGGCTCTTTTGGGCACCTGGCATATAGTGGGTGTTCAACTCTGAGTTCTTACCCTTCCCTTAATTCCCCTCTCCCCCGTGAAGAGTAAACCCTGCAAAATCTTGCTCCCAAGAAGCAAGCTGGGGGCTCAGAGAGGGACTGAGGTGGCAGGGTGGGGTGAAAGAGGGGCCAAGAGCCTTGGTGGCTTTCTCTAGATGAGGACGAGGTTGGTGGTGTGGGCAGGCCAGGCTGTAGGTGCCCTCCCTGGATCCACATGGATCTGCCCACAGAGAAGGTGCAGCAGGAGCTGGATACAGTATTGGGCACCGCCACAGCTGTATGCTACGAGGACCGCGAGCAATTGCCCTACACCCGTGCTGTCCTCCACGAGGTGCAGCGCCTCACCAGCGTCGTTGCCGTGGGTGCTGTGCGCCAGTGCGTGACCTCAACTCATTTGAGCGGCTACCCTGTGCCCAAGGTAAGTAGCCTTGTACCTGACACAGCACCTGCAGAAGCACCTTTCAATGCCCTTCCCACCCAGCACAGCCAACCTCTGCAACTCCTGCCTACCTGTCTCCTATCAATCCATCAGTCATCTCTACCATCTCAGTCATCCATCCAACCAACCATCCATCCATTCATCCATTCATCCATCCATCCATCCATCCATCTACTCACCCACCTATCTACCTACCTTATCTATCTACTGTAAAGTCACAGTAAGGAGAAAAGGATGCACAAAAGTGAAGTTAAAGAGAAGTTTTTATTCTGAGTTTCCGGGGGAGGTTTACGGGACCCTGAGAGGGACCCGGGAGAGGTTCACAGGTCTCTGAGAGGGGCCCGGGAAGTTGCACCGCCTGGCTGGGGAGGGGAGGGTTTATAGTCTTGTGGAGGACCTAAGCGGGGACACTAAGGAAATTGTGGGGTCCAATTAGCTGTTAGCATGGGTCTGTACTTAATTAGCATGAGGAGGCTTCACAAGAGGAAGTTTGCCACTGCATGGGACTTTCTAGTCTGGGCGGGTTCTGTCACTTTGGTTGTCCTATCAGGCTGTCTCATCAGGGCTTGACACCTGGAGGAAGCTGCTAACTGAAATGTTGGTGGCTTGGGTTTGCTTCAGCCTAACATTCCAACCTTTTTTAATGGATAAAGGGCGATGTGATTCTCTTAGCTTCTTCCTGCTGAATGGGGTCGAAGAGGGAGAGAGGGGTTTCATAGGTTGGAGTTTGAAAAGTTGGGGTTGTCAGGATGGAAGAGAAGTTGATTCACCGTGACCCGAGACATTTTTCAAGTTGGCTTTGGAGAAGTTTGAGGAGGTAAGGGGTAAAAAGGAAGAAAATGGTAATTAGTATAAATGGGTTTATAAGGGGAAGTAGTCAGGTGGTTAATGGAAACTGAAACTATGTGAATGGGGAGTTGCTAATTTGGTTTTTTTTCTGCCTAAGTTTTCACTCAGGTGTTAATATTTTTTCTATGAGGCTAAATTTGTTGATATAGTAGTAATATTTTTTTCTGAGGAAGAGGTATGTTTTTTTATTTTTGGCTGTTAGCAGGTCAAGGGTTTGTCGGTTCTGTAAAGTAACTTGAGTTAGAGAGGTTAGTTGGTGTTGTAGGGTGGTTAGAGAGTCTGCTGTGGTTTTTACTAGGAGCTGTAACTGATTTTCTAGTTCTGTGTTGACGTGATACTGTGCTTCACAGACAGGGTGGTGGAGGTTAGAGAAAGATTAATTATGATAGGAAGGAAGGCTGTTTTTTGAGGGTCTGTGGATAGAGTTTGTAATATTTGTTCTGTTTGCATTGATAGGATAGGGGTGTTATAAGGGGATTGAGTGGAGATTAAGAGTTTTTAGATAAAAAATGTTGTATAAAAGGTTTTAGGCTGTGTCAGCGCGTGTAGGAGATAGGAAATTGGGGTTTAGACGGTAACTGTGTAAGGTTTTTTAAACTTACTATAATAGGAGGATGATGAGAGGTAATGGATGGGGAAGTGGTATTTCATATGCATGGGTTAATAAGGTCAGGGGACATGAGGAAGGTTGGTGTCTGTGAGGAGGTAGTGGTCAGTGATAGTAGAAGTGAGGCAGAGTGATTTTGAGTGCAGGTGAGAGTGGTTTTAATCTTTGTGAGGAAATCTCGCCCTAAAAGGGGGGTAGGACAGGTTGGTACAATGAGAAATGAGTGTGAGAGAATTTTGTCATTTATTAAGCAGGTGATGGGATCTGTTGCGGGGGCAGGGTTTGAGGGTTGCCCGTTAATTCCCAGACAGAGACTGAGGAAGGGAAACATGGTTCTGAGAAGGAGGAGAGTACAGAATAGGCAGCTCTTATATTAATTAAAAAGGAGATTGACTTACCCGCTACCTTGATAGTGACCCTGGGCTCAGCGAGAGTGATTGGGGTTGTTGAGTGCGGGTTCTTTCAGTTGTCAGTGGCCAGGCCCAAGATTGTCGACAGCGGGTTAGTGCGTGGGGAGGATGGCCCTCCATGCTTTGACACAGAGGGACAGTTACTCTTCCAATGTTTTTTCAAACCACACGCTGGACATGGGCCGGGGGCCGGTCGGGGCTGAGGACAGGATTTGGCTCCTTACCTCACTTGAAGTAGGATCGGGGAGCCGCCGAGGAAGGAGGTCTTCTGTCACTATGTGCTGGCCTCAGGACCACTAGTAAGGCATTGGCCTGCAAGGTGGCCTTCTGGCGGGTCTTGGTTTCTCTATCTGCTTCCGCTTTCTTTTCTCGGGTGTTAAAGACTTTAAAGGCCATACTTACTCAGTCTCCGATGGGAGTTTGGGGTTCCTCTTTAGCTTTTTTTTTTTTTTTAGTTTCTTTCTAATGTTTGGAGCTGATAGGGTTATGAAATGAGTGGCTAGGACTATGGTTTCAGCCGGAAAGGAAAGGTCTAGACGGGTAAATTGGGTAAGGGTTTTGGTTAATCAGTTCAGGAAGGTGGCTGGGTTCTCCTCTGGAAGTTGGGTAATGTTTTGGAGTTTGTCAAAATTAACTGTTTTATGAGAGACAGTTTGCAGATCTGTCAGGAGGCATTGGAGCATTTTATTTTTGTGGGATCTCTGGTGCGTTTGGACTGGGTGTCTGGAGAGGAAAGGGTGGGAGAGGCAGAGGAGGATGTCTGGGGAGGTAAGTGAGATAGGAGGATAGGGAGTTGTAGGGGGAAGGGGAAGGGAGGAAGGTGTTACCTGGGGGAGAGGGGGTTGTGTTGCAGCATAAGGAGGGGGTCTGGGGGGTAGGGGCAAGTTTTCCAGTGGGTCAAAAAAGGAGGAAGAGGAAACTGAGTGGTTTCAAAGGGGAGAGAGGTTTGGGTTTTTCGCGAGCAAGGAGGATTTAAGTGGTATTACATTTCGAGTACAATAAGGGCTGGGAGCACAAACAAAAGAAGGTTTGGACGTCGGGGACTTCCGGCCATTTGCCTGTGTGTTGGTAAAAATTGTCTAAGTTTGTAAGGATATTAAAGTCAAAAGTTCTGTGCTCTGGTTAGTGAGAGTTATTGTCTAGTTGGTACTGGGGCCATGCTGTGGTGGAGTAAAAAATGAGGTGTCTGGGACAGAGGTCCTGGTCTAGCAATAAGGTCTTAAGGTTTGTTAATAAACACCCCAGAGGGGTTGTTGGATTGATTTTGGAGTTTTGATTGCTCATTGGTTCTGAGTTCTTCGGATAGGGTTCCCGGAACCCTATGCCAGTGGGACTGTTTTATGTAGGTGGACATCTCCGCCTGACGCTAGACAGTCGAATGAGGAATGACCCTCCGAGGAATGACCCCCAAGGGAGATAGGATGTCAGGTGTCCCCGAACAACCAAACTCCCGGACTGTGAGGAGTTTCTGACGTGGTACCACGATTTTTCCCTGTGCCAGTGATGCAGAAAACTCCGGTGCAGAACTCAGACCTTTGGGCAAGTCAATTCTCCAAAAGCAATCCACGGGAAATATTAAAAGAGGAAAATAATCACACTAGAGATATAAAAAGAGGAAAGTAATCACACTAGACTGGAGACATGTCCCAAGGACCAGTCAGATGCCCGGTTGTCCGTTCCCCTCTCGGGGATTTAAGTGAGTCTTTGGCTAAGGTGTCTCCGTATAAACCCCGGAGCAGAGGGCAGAGCCACACCGTTATGCCAATCTGACTTCACACGGAAATCAACTGAGGGCCCACTCAGACTCTGCAACTTAGATCTTGGAGTGTCACAGAAACATTCACACAACTTCTCAGTCAGACACAGACAGGTTACAACAAAACTAATTTAAACTGTCTGGTAGTAGGCACTGGTTCATCACCCAGAGTTAAAAAATTAAAATGGCCCGCAGGATGGAGGACAACAGAATACAAAATGTATGTCCTCTGGTGGGCATTGAGTAAAGGGTAAGATGTGACTTACCGGTGGTGGATGCAGGGGGGCCGGAATTCCCTGGTCCGGAGGGAAGAGGGAGAAGGGGAGTAAGAATTCCCTCGGGTTCTACTCCTCTTCCCGGGGTTCGGCACCAAATGTAAGGCCACATTAAGGAAAAGAGGACGCACAAAAGTGAGGTTAAAGAGAAGTTTTTATTCTGAGTTTCCAGGGGAGGTTTATGGGCCCCAGGGAGGGGCCCGGGTGAGGTTCACGGGTCCCTGAGAGAGGCCTGGGAAGTCAAACCACCTGGCTGGGGAGGGGAGGGTTTATAGTCTTGTGGAGGACCTAAGCGGGGACACTAAGGAAATTGTGGGGTCCAATTAGCTGTTAGCATGGGTCTGTACTTAATTAGCATGAGGAGGCTTCACAAGAGGAAGTTTGCCACTGCATGGGACTTTCTAGTCTGGGCAGGTTCTGTCACTTTGGTTGTTTTATCAGGCTGTCTCATCAGGGCTTGACACCCGGAGGAAGATGCTAACTGAAATGTTGGTGGCTTGGGTTTGCTTCAACCTAACATCTACCTATCTACCCAACCCACTTCTCTACCTACCTTAGCTACCTACCTACCTGTCTATCTACCTATCTTTCTATGGCATTTGGAGCTTTCAGTGGAGGCTTCAGTGGAGCTTCCAGGCTAAGACAGACTAGGAAGAAAGGCCTGGTGATCAATTTCCAAAAAGCAACCAATGAAAAACCCTCTGGATCACAACTGTCCGATCCACAACCAATTATGGGGATGGTACAGGACTGGACAGCGTTGAGTTCCATTGTACACGAAGTAACCAAGAGTCAGAATGAACATGATGGCAATGGGTTTTCCAGTACTCAGAGATAAAACCTGCAGACATGTAATGAACATCTTTCTGACCTTTTCTGTTTGCATGTGTTTTGTATAGTTGCGATTATATTGACTTAGAAATAATAAGCCTTCTTTTCACTTAACATCAGGAGCTCTGTTGGCACATTATTTATGGCATTCAGCTGCTAACCAAAAGGTTTGAACCCATTAGCTGCTCTGCAGGAGAAAGATGAGGCAGTCTGCTTTTGTAAAGATTTACAGTCTTGGAAACCCAATGGGA